CTCACGCCTTTTGGAAGAGTTGGTTGCCTGGCTGCCCCAGTTCCAAGCTAGCCTCAAAACCGCATTAAATGGTCAGTACAGGTGGGGCCAAAGGTCCCTGGTTGACTGTCACTCAACTGCCTGCAAAATAAAGCAAAGCAAGGATTTCTCTCTATCTAGTCTGTAGAGGGAAACCTCACAATGCGGAAGGGAAGAAAGGGAAATGACGGACTTCCCTTTCCACTTTTTATTTTTTTAAGACATTCAAAAAAAGGAAGCAAGAGCAAAGGGGGGAAAGAGACCCCAAGCCCCAGAATGTACGATGGGAAAGGTTGAGGACCCCCAGCCTTCACTTTTGTTGAAGGCTCTTAATTCCTCCGGTCGTTTCAACCACAACGGGAAGGCTTAAAATATGGGGAAATTGGTTTTTTTATTATTATGAAAAGAAATGAAAAGAGATGGGGAGAAGGGAGGAAAGACCCCTGTGGTTCAATGACAGAAGCCTGTTTATATATTGAATGACTTATATGTGTTCTCAGTGTTATTCCTCCGTATTGTACACAGCTTTGTAAATAAATTTTTAAAATGGTGCTTTATGGATTGTCGGCTGGCTAATTCTGGAAATCGGGGAGAAATATCCAAAGGCAGGAAAAAGAAAGGGCGAGGTGGATAGGGTTGAATAACAGGTCTGGAATATATACATTGTGTTGCTGTGAGTTTTCCGGGCTGTATAGCCATGTTCCAGAAACATTATCTCCTGACGTTTCGCCCACATCTATGGTAGGCATCCTCCGAGGTGAAACGTCAGGAGAGAATGCTTCTGGAACATGGCTATACAGCCCGGAAAACTCACAGCAACCCAGTGATTCTCAGTCATGAAAGCATTCGACAATATATACATTGGGTTGTTGTATGGTCATGTTCCAGAAGCATTATCTCCTGACGTTTCGCCTGCATCTATTGCAGGCATCCTCCGAAGTTGTGCGGTTCTCAATATATACAATGATTTTCTATTTGTAATCAGTGAGATTGACTTCCAAAGCAAAAAATCTGGATTTCAATGCAAACCAAGAAGTCAATGGGATGCAACATTCCGATGCCTAACCTGAAGTGGAAGTAGATCCCGAGAAAATCAATGAGAAAGATCAATATTTTCCCTCCTTTTGGGGTAAAATATCCCATGATAGGTGTCCTCGCCCTTTTTCCCTCTTTAAATGGCTTTAACGTGGCGGGAAAAAAGATTTATTCTAATTTCCGGAGGAGGGATTTGTGGATCTGATATCGATCTTAACAGATTTCGGTAGGTCAATAAATACAATTATTATTATTATTATTATTATTATTATTATTATTATTATTATTATTATTATTATATAAAGAAACCTGATTTGAGATAGAGACTCAAAAAATTGAGGAGGGTAAACAACAAACCAATTCTGGTTTCAGAGCGGGACGAAATCGAATTAGTGCAGAATCATAGTTTAAAAAAATGTTTTCAAGCCTATTTCCAATGAGTTAACAAACCTTAATGTATCGGATTTATTTTTCTCTCTCTCTCGACATTTTTCTCCAAGGTAAAACATGTCTATTCTGTTCTCTCTCTCTCTCTCTCTCTCTATATATATATATATGTTATTCTGGGTTTGCTGTGAGTTTTCTGTTCTCTCTCTCTCTCTATTATTCTGGGTGAGTTTTCCGGGCTGTATGGCCATGTTCCAGAAGCATTCTCTCCTGACGTTTCAGTCACATCTATGACTGGCATCCTCAGAGGTTGTGAGGTCTGTTGGAAACTACGCAAGTGAGGTTTATAAATATGTGGATATATGTTATTCTGTGTTACCAGAGTTTCTATCTAATGCTTGGTTTCTGATTTAAGGCGAATGAAAGAAAAGTCTGTCGGCCCCATGACTGCAAAAGCAGTCACAGAATAGGGAGGCTGTGGATTTGAATGGCTAGGATCCCAAAAATCAATGTCGCACGTCGAGGCGAAGAAAATTGTGAGGATGCCCGGGGGGGGGGGGTCTTTTTGGAGACTTTATAGGATCGAAATATCTCTATATGAGTAGATTTAGGGTACAGAGAAATGGGCGAGGTTCCTTCGAAAACAAAGGGCTGGAGGTTTGCAACCTGCAGTAGTTTGAGGGGAATGTTGTGTCCGTTGTTTCAATCTTGTTTTGCTTCTTTTTACAAACGATGCACCTTCGAAATGCGGGCAAGAGGACAGGACAAGAGCAACCGAGGGGCGCCTTCCAAGCAGGCCTGCAGGCAGTCCTCTCCCGCCGGCTTCCTCGGCTTCCTCTCCGAGGAGGGAAACTTCTCCTTCTGCAAAGGCGCAAAGGCTGGCCTCCAAGGAAGGAGGGAGGGAGGGAGGGAAGGAGAGAAGGAGGCGCTGGCCTTCCTCCCCCGCGAAGAAACCGTCAATATTATTCCGCCCTAAGTCAACATTTATACACCTCGGGATCTGCGGACGAAAATAAAGTCCTGCTGACCGGGGAGGGGCGGGGGAGAGGGGGGCGGAGGGGCTGAACTTGAGAAATAAAGGAGCTGCCAAACACTGGAGGCGGGAGACGCTCTCGTCCCAGGCGGAGGTGAGCAGGCAGGCTCCGCTTTGGAGCCCATGGCCTCGCCGCCTGCCCACCCAGCGCCTTTCATCCACACTTGGGTTCTTTGGGAGTCGCAGATTTGCGGCTCTCCGCTGCCGTCGCTGTTGCCTTCCTCCTCCTCTTTCCCTTCCTCCTTTTCCTTCTGTTTCTCTTCCTCCTCCTCCTCCTCTTTTTCGTCTTCTTATTTCTCCCTCTCCTCTTTCTCTCTCCTTTTCTTCCTTCTCTTTCCTCTCTACTTCTTCCTCTTCTTCTTACTTCTCCTCCTCCTCTGCTTCTTCGTCTTCTTATTTCTTCCTCTCCTCTCCTCCTCCTTCTCCTCCTCTTCTTTCTCTTCTTCTTTCTCCCTCTCCTCTTTCTCTCTCCTTTTCTTCCTTCTCTTTCCTCTCCTCTTCTTTCTCTTCCTCCTCTCCTCCTCCTCTTCTTCTTCCTCCTCCTCCTTTGCTTCCTCCTCTTCCTTCTCCGCTTCTTATTTCTCCCTCTCCTCCTTCTCTCTTCTTTTCTTCCTTCCCCTTCCGCCCCTTCTCTTTTTCTTCCTCCTGTTCCTCCTCTTCTTCTGCTTCTTTGCCTTCTTATTTCTTCCTTTCTTCCTCTTCTTCTTCCTCCTCTGCTTCCTCCTATTCCTTCTCTTCCTATTTCTCCCGCTCCTCTTTCTCTCTTCTTTTCCTCCTTCTCCTTACTCTCCTCCTCCTCCTCTTCTGCTTCCTCGTCTTCTTATTTCTCCCTCTCCTCCTCTATCTCTTCCTCCTCCTCCTCTTCTCCTTTGCATCCTCCCCGTCTTTCTCCTACTTTTATTTCTCCCTCTCCTCCTTCTCTAGCCTTTACTTCCTTCTCCTTCCTATCCTCCTCTTCTTCTGATTCTTCTTCCTCTTCTTATTTCTCCCTCTCCTCCCCTTCCTTTTGTTCCTCTTCCTCCTCTTCTTCCTCTTCCCTTGCTTCATCCTTTTCCTTTCCTTATTTCTCCCTCTCCTCTTCCTCTTCCCCTTTCTTTTTTCTCCTTCCTCTCTTCCTCTTTTTCCTCCTCCTTGTCCTCCTCCTTTTCTGATTCTTTGTCTTCTTATTTTCCCTCTTCCTTCCTTCTGTTCTTCTTCCTCCTCCTTTGCTTCCTTCTCTTTCTCCTATTTCTCCCTCTCCTCTTCCTCCTCTTCTTCTGCCTCCTTCTTTGCTTTCTCCTCTTCCTCTTCCTCTCCTTTTCTTCCGTCCCTTCTTCTCCCCATCTTCTTCCTCCCCACTTTTCCTTCCTTGTTAGCAGAGAGCGGCATATCAGAGGAATTATGAGACATATGCCGCAAGTAAGGAGCAAAAACGAGTAACCAAAGTTATAAACAAGCCTTTATTTAGGAGAACTGGGGCCCCTTCTACATAGCTGAATAAAATCCCACATTTTCTGCTTTGAACGGGAATAACGGCAGTGTGGACTCAGATAACCCAGTCCAGGGCAGGTATTGTGGGATTTTCTGCCTTGATATTCTGGGTTATATGGCTGTGTGGAAGGGGCCTAGGGACCATCCAATCTGGTCCCAGGCTTTCTGCTTTAAACTGGATTATATAGAAAACCTGGGATCAGATCCTGAGATATAGGGTCTGTCTGGAAAAGGCCAAGGTAGTGGATAGAGAAAAGTAGCTAGGCTACACTCATTGTAGTAGAGACCATAGAACGAGAAATTCACTTCTTGTTCTTCCTCCTCCTCTCCTCCTCCTCCTTCTTCTCCCTCCCCCTCTTCAGCTTCTTCTTTCTCCTCCTCCTCCCCTCCTCCTCCTCCTTCTTCTCCCTCCCCTCTTCCTCTTTCGCCTCCTCCTCCTCCTCCACTTCCTCTTCCTTCTCTTCTTCCTCTTCTTCTTCTTCTTCCTCCTCCTCCTTCTCCTCCTCCTCCTCCTCCACTTCCAATTCTTCTCCTTCTCCTCCTTCTCCTTCTCCTTCTCCTTCCTTTTCTTCCTCTTCCTCCCCCCCCCTTCCCACCCCTCCGCTCTCAAAATCCCAAGTTGTTCCACAGTTGTGTCTGGCTAATCGGTTTTTACACAAACAGCAAATGGTCCGTGGTGGCGGGGCCAGAAATCCAGCCCGGCTATATTTAGCTGATACTCCTGGGAAAAGAGGCCGGGAGTGGCTTGGGGGGGGGGGGGGGATGATAGGGGGTTGTAGAGGAAGGCAGGGGGAGATGTTCTTGGATTCCCTTCTGGGGCTGGGGAGGCGGCAGTCCTTCTTCGCCTTGACGTGGCAGGACAGGGGG